ATTTAATATATATTCCTTAGTAAGAAAACTTTCCTTTCTCTTTTTTTTCCTAAACAAATAAATTTAAATTTTGACTCTTTTCTTTTTTTGATAATGAATGGTGCTAGCTAGAACTAAGAAGTAAAAAGATAACATTGTTATTCCTACTGATTCTACAGATAAGTGTAATTCCATACGTATGAACTATTTCTCTCAAAACAGCGCGTATATGATTATTTTTTTTGTGATTATATTTAATTATGAATTGGAAAAATGTACATGTAATGTTAAATAACTGAATAAAGAATTTATTCCATGAAACCTTGTTTTCTGTGATATCAACGTCGTGATACATCTATTATCATATCATAAAGGTTTATTGTGTATTTTCTTAAAATATGTTGATATTTTTCAAAGTAATGAAGATGTATTAGATGTATTTCAAAGTAATGAAGATGTATTATTGATAGAATATTATTAAAGACTAAGTATAATTGGAGAACAATTATTATACTGAGCAAACATATTTGAAAATTTATTTGTAGGATATAAGACTCATTTCTGTGAAATAAAGTTTATTTTCGTCAATAAACTTTATATCCCATAAATAAATTTTCAAATGTTTCTTTCTAATATGTAATAATTCTACACTGGGAAAAAGTACTTGAAAATTTATTTTATATATAAAAATATTTCATTTTATATATAAAGATATATAAACTTATATTTCTTTGAAATAAATTTTTATCTCAAATCAATTTATAAGTATTTTTCTCAATGTAAAGACCAAATATAATTAAAGAACACTGATGTTACATTGAGAAAATATTTAAAAATTTGTGAGATGCAAAGTTTATTCACAAAAATAAGCTATATTTTATTATATATAAACTTTAAATCTTAAAAATAAAAATTAAATTAATAAAATTTATATCCCAAAAATAAGAATAAATTTTCAAATTTCTTTTCTGCGTAATAACTCTACTTCGAAAACCTGGTATAAATAATTGATGTAATAATCCTAATATTTTAAAGAAATCGGTCAATTTATTGTTACTGACTCTTTTTCAGCGTAGATTAACGACTGCCGTTCAACTTCTAACTATACGGCGATCACGCGATTTTTTATTCAGCATCCTCGATAGTGCATTTTGCAAGATCTTGCTTTTATAGCGGTTATTTGATAATATTTTTTCACGACAGATGCGCAAAACATTCGTGGTATACCAGCGATGATACGCGCGAAAGTCATTCCCGGCAAGTCGAGAACGTAACAGATAACAACTTGCAAAAAATAATATAACGAACGTGCGATACTTTACTTTGATTATTTGACGATATTTTGTCATAATAAACGCGCGAAACTTACTTTCGGCATTGCCGGCGATGATTCAAGAGCAAGACGCATCTTTGAGCCAAAATCGCGGAAAGTATGGAGCAGCTTTCGAATAACGTAACTACCGTATCGTTCCAAGATTTGCTTGAAGATCGTGGCGCTTGATATACACGGAATTTATTTGTGCGTGGTATTTCACTTAGCACTGCCAGTAGTTTGTGATGCGAGAAGCTCTTTGACGGTTATTTTATAATGTTACGATAATTTGCGCGCGAAACTCATTACTGATAAATTCAAACCGGTACAGGCACAGACTTGTATATTCAATCACCATAACGTAACGGGCGCTGATATTTTATTAGATAGCGGACTATTTTGTAAGATGATCACTTACCATGATTATTCGGTGATATCTTCTTTGTCAAACGCAAGGAACTTGTTTTCGGCATCACTGGTGATGATTCAGATGCGAGACTTGTCTTCGATCAGCCAAAATCGCGGAAAATACGGAACGGATTTTCGAGTAACGTAACTACCGCGTCGCGAGCCGTTGCAGAATCGTTTGAATCAGCGATGAGCGCATCACTGATTGGCTCGCGTAAACAACGTCTCAGCCAATCAAAAGTCTCGATACACACGAAGACATTACGTAGGAAAAATTCCCACGGCAGTCCATCACTAGTTTGAACACTGTAGTGATTGAAATGGGTGGGACCCGATTAACCACGGTACGATTGGACATAGATTGTAATGATTAGTTCGATCTGGTAATTCACTAGATAATTCTTTGCATCGGTTGATTGTGTCCAATCGTATCGTGGTCAAGCGAGGAGCACATACTCTTCCATAAAGGTATAACGCATGAGAAAACCAACCAATCAGAGTCCTTCATTTTTATCATGGCAATAGAAATGAGAACTCTGATTAGTCAATTTTCTTATGCGTTGTGCATTATGCTTTTATGCAAAAGTGTGTGCTCCGCACTTCAATCGGGACGTTCCCGATTGAAATGAGGGAATAAAGGCCAAATCACACTAGCGATTGGCGATTGATGATTGACAATTAAAGATTAGATTTTAACGAATCAACAAGTTTCAGCCTTGGTTTGCTTTGTTCCAATTGGTCAAGTTTCAATCTTTAATCGTCAATCATCTATCGCCAATCGTTAGTATGATTTGGCCTTAAAGGCCGGTTTATGATGGTTTAAGATTGTTTTCGAAAAACAAATCTTCTGATTGGCCCATCGATTGCGTTCCGACGTCCGACAGAGACATACGACGTATTGTAGAACCAGCCTAAAGGCCGATTTATGATGGCCGTATCCGTTAACTTATGCCGGAACCGTAAAAAATTGACCAATCATAAGGTTTGTTCGAGTTGCTTGCACTATTCACACTTTTACACCTAATGCCTGTTGCACACTAGTGCACCTCATTCAATACAAATTTTCCAAAATACGTTCTGAAGACGCTTTTAGGACGGAAGGATGTCATCAGAATATATTTAGGACGTCCTTTGAAGATGTGAGCTGTCTGAAAATAGCTAATATCCAATAAGTTTATTCGCATTAATTTAACTTTTTACACTTTTACACTTTCACTAGTGGCTTTACATTAATGGCTTTCATTAATGTCGCGCGGCGGAAGTTCACGCGATAACCAATTAATATGCTGCTTTCCGTAATAACCTTCTAGCTCTTACGGAAAAACAACATATTGATTGGCTGTCGCGCGGACTTCCGCCGCGCGGCAAGCATTACCGCGTCCTGTGTACAAGAGCCATAATTCTTTACAGATTCTAAAAATGACGTCATGAGTTCCGTTCGTATTACGAATGTAATTGCAATTTTGATACACTTTTTACACTTGATCCCAAGCAAGAGTGAAAAGTGTATCAGAATTGCATTTACACTCGTAACACGAATGGAAAACATGACGCCATTTTTAGAATCTCTAAAGAATTAATGTGCACTAAGTGTGAAAGTGTAAAAAATTCAATTAATGTGAATAAACTTATTGGATATTAGCTATTTTCAGACAATTCACACTTTCAAAGGACGTCCTAAGAATTTATTCTGATGACGTCCCTCCGTCTTGAAAACATCTTCAGAATGTATTTTTGAAAATTTGTATTGTTTGGAATGCACTAGTGTGCAACGGGCATTAAGTGTAAAAGTGTGAAAAGTACAAGCAACTCGACAAACCT